AGAATTCTCCTTGCTGAGTTTTCACAGTTTCGGTATGTCAACCGGCTCCTGATGAAGGAAACTCTGCTGTTTGCGAATTCTCGACGATAGAAATCTTTACGAACCTAGAAATCAAGATCTAGAAGCCAAGATAAATATAAATTCTTTCTCCTGGCTAGTATTTTATCATGGTAAAGAAGGAACACAAAACGAAATCAGCGCTGAAATCAAGGAATGGTAGATTTAAAACATAAACTTCATCGATCTAGACGATCGTGTTACCTCTGTAAGAGTAACCAAGTATTATTCGTTTTTCGTTTCGTTAGATTAAGCTTTGTTCGTTAGATAGAGTATCATCTGGGTTCTAACGCTCTTTTTCCCCTCGAAGGTTTGCTTGTAGATACAATCAGCGCCAAAGTGACCCGCAACGGTTTAAAATATCGCTAATATCGAGCCACGAATGCGTCCCAGTTCCCCATCGCCTAGAACCGCAATTTTCACCGAGCTGCCGTAATTAAACGGTCTAAAACTGGATAATTGATTAGGCGCGAGCAGGGAACGAGGATCGGCAATATTGGCGGGCGGTCGAGTATCGGTGCATAAATCGAACGAATACCCCCGTACATATATATAAACATACACTTTATTATGGTAATTTATAATTGCATCGTATTCACAATGAATATGCGCAATAACGTATTGTAATTAGATGTACAAACTGGTCTATGGAGTAATAACCTAGACTAATCAAGTTTTGCGGTTAATTATATACTGCCCACACGTTCGACGATTCCGCGTCTATTCCGCGTATCGATAACTCATTCGTTTCGATTTGATTCCCGTCACCTCCTCGATGGAGGACCGTTTTCCATCGACTTTTCTTCTTCGCGCTTGTTTCGTCGTCGAGATCGTCAGGATTTTCAATCGACGCGAAACCTCGTCCCGCTCGGCTACGTCATCGAATCCCGACGACGATCGACCGTCGGCCTCGGTGGAACAGTCGATCCTGCCAATCAGAAATCTCTACCCGGGAAAAGGAAAACGCGACGACTAGTTGCCATGAATCGTCTCAAACTTTGTACACCATCTGGAAACTGGTAGGAACTGAACTCGGTGTCGCGACGTGTCAACGAAGCTGAACACCCGTGGGATTTTTCGGAACTTGGTTTATTTTCTTTTCACGTGTGAACGTAATTACGGGAAATGAACGCGAACGAAAAATGGTCGCAAAGTTTTGTATTCGTCGTAGATCATTTAAGGTTGGAAAAGTAGCTATAGTATTTTTATTCGTGTAAGTTGTACTGTACACAGTAAGCGATGAACAACTCGCCTCCTCGCCTTAGTCGCTGAGCAATTATTGTAACAATGTCGGGTACCGTGTTTCAGGTAGTAAAGCATAGCTATATGAATACTTCTTCGTTACTATCCGTTACGATAATAAAATAACGTTTACATCGTCGTCTCGAGGAATGAACTCGATCCTTAATTACATCGATTTCGTCGCAACACCGTCACGAACGGACGTTCCTGTCAACATCTCCGAGAATTCGGCCATTTTTGAGTCCGTGCGCGCGGGACTCGCAAGATTTGCAAACGATTAAACAACTACCTCGAACGATTTACATCCAAGTCGAATCTAGGTTTGTTTTCAAGGTATACAAGGTGTTGCGTGTTAAGTACCTGCTCGAGTATTAGTAGGATTAGTCGATACTTAAAGCCGATTCTAAATCCTCTCGTTACGAGCGTTGTCGGTCACGTAATACCCCGTATACAATGTAACACCGAAGCAACGTTGACTTTGGTGCAACAGCACATTTAAAAAAATACTTCATCTCGATCGAGTCGATCTTCAACGGCTGCTACACCCCAGTGATCCAGACGTCCTAGTTCTCGTGTAGAGTTTCCACGTGCAAATACTATTGGCATCTAGCATAAAGAAATTGACTCGAAACTCTGGAAACATAGTGGCACTGATATCGACGCCGTTAAACTGGCGTACTCTCGACCCCAATAATCTTTGCACGAGGTGAGCTCGCATTAGAAGCTGTATCGCGGGGTAAATTTCTGCACAGGCCAATGACAAGTCTCCTCGGTATCGTTACCAACGTGCTTCGGATTTAAAAATTCCCAACATGGTGCGGGCAAGGGGGCGCAGACGAGGAGATTGAGCGAACAGAACGTACACACGTACCAATGCAAATGTTGCCGATAAATTCGTGTCACGTCTCGTGTATTTGACATCTGGGGAATCTTATTTGAAGCCTCGATCGCGCCCACGTATGACTCCATTTTTTGAAGCTCTCGAATATGACTGATTCGCGTACGTGATCCGTTGACCAGACGCTCAGACCAGAGATGGGCAAAATTTTATTTGAATTATAGATGACAAATAGAAACACCATATTATGCAAACACATCGGTGCAACTTATTTGCTTATTCGATTAGACCTTTTGTTCGCTCGATGGGAAATTTAACCCTCTCGTACCTGGAATTTAGATGCTGCTTTTCGTCAAACCTCGTTACTTAACTTAATTTCTGTCGACACAGTTTTCGACAAATTGTAAACACACGGTGCAAAATATATCGGGGAACCACTGCGTAGTTTTGTAACTGTACATATGTATATGCGAATATTATACATTACAAAATTATACATTCTAGCGTAGCATATTCACAAGAGTGACCATCAGGTTCGATAGGGTTGATTTCGTTTCATCGTTTGGATTGTTGTCCATCTATCACTCGTACGCAAATAAGAATTTTGCCCATTTTTGCAGACGCCCACGCTCGACAGTCCGTGACGAACGCGCGGCGTTATTACACACGAACGATAAATCGTAGTAGAGAATTTCAATAAGCATCGCCGAATGTTTCGATGTTTTAACGGTTTTTAGTGTACATGGTATATACATTGGTCTTCCATTAAGTTTTGGCAACGTTTCGGTGGGCGGCGTTCGTTTAAAGCGACGATTTACGAGGGGCTGGCGCACGTGCAACGAAAAAGGGATAGAGGAACGTTCGGTGTCACTTTCGACCTCGATTAAACAAGAAACTGTGCCTGATTTTATCGGACCCGATGCTCGCGAACCTCGAAAGATACACAAAAGGACGCTCCGCGATCGGAGTTCCTTTTAATTGGAATCTAGTTCGTCCCGATGACGCCTCGATTGCACCAGAAATACACGACTCCTCGGTTTATCGAGGGAAGACGACGGTGCGACGCGGCGGTCCCAGCGATTTAATCGTTCCTTTCTTGCCGGCGCTGAGCTGCCTTTTGCTTGTTTTCAATTCGTCATTTCAATTTGTTGCTGATAGAGAAAAACGTATTAATCCCTTGAAACTCGATTAATTTTTGCGTTACGAAAAATACTGTCGAGTTGGATAAAATATTCTAGGATAATTTCATGGGAATAATAGCCATTAATTTTGTTTCATGCTTTCAAGCAGAGTAAATGTTCGACAAACTGTTATCATTTTATCTAGTGCACTCGACTCCACCTGTGCATTGTTTTCTCGCCGTGGGCATAAATTGGTAGCAATTATCCGCTAGTTGTGAAACTTCGACTATAAAAGGCATTCAACGCTCATCGGCTAGAAGAGGAGTTATTTCGAGGAGCGGAAAGTTAGCAGATAAATTACCAAAACGCAACAGAACCGGAAAAATGCAAACGTTCCATTTAATCGTGTCGTTTGTTATGATACCGGATGGATCGTAAATCGCGCTTCAAACGACTCCGGAAACATTGCCGAACAAAGCTCATCGAAGAATTACGTTATTCGTACATATTCTGTTTCGTTATCAACGAACATTACCTTACCTTCAATTACAAAAAGCCATACCCAAACGCCGGAGAATCGGCGGTTACGTTCATTACTCTAAGATTGGCACCGTGTAGTTACGTGCGTACAACTACTGCACAAAACTGTAAAGATTGCACCTGATGATGTCAATTTAAACATTCAAATCTCAATCAAGGAATGAAAAAAAATACATTAAACGTATAAAGGCAGTTTACGACTGATTATCTCTCCAAGTTTATTTCGTAATCGAGCAATCTTTTTGTTTGTTATTGACACGGATATCCGAGATCAAAAGGAAGCTAGAAACCTTGAACGGTAAATCTTGGATGAATAGAAGAAACCTCGAGATTTCGTTCTTTCTTCTGATCTTCGGCACCTATATTAATAACAGACAAAAGAGTTGTCTCGATACTAAATAAACTTGCATTTCGAATCTTCATACCGAAAGACTCGGATTTAATAACAAATCTTGATCGATAGTAAAATAATTATTTCGACAAATTCTGATCACCATCTAGGGGCAATCGTTCTAGTTTCTCAGTATACGTGTCTTGCAATGAGAGACAAACGCGCTAAGATCCAAGGGAAACGATTGAAACCACGCGTGTCGACGAAAAAAATAACGCGTGTATGTGTATATTTACATATCATCGTCGCGGGCTTCCCCTCGCGGTCCTTCGCGAAAAACGCGTACTTCTGTCTCATAGGAACGAAAGATGAAAGAAAAACACAGTGATGCTCGACTATGTGCGAATACGCGATCCCGGTTATACGCGAAAGAATCATCTTTGTCTCTTTTGTCCGGGTAGTACTGTACATGGAAAAAACACACCAGTGGGCACCGTCACAACGAGCAATGTTTCTCTGAAAACGTCGAAAGCACACTCGAAGTACACTGAATATTTATAGAAACATCTCGACATTATTGATAGTAAATACATTAGCAACGCCGATCGTTGTCTGTTGGAGTCCGCGTAAGGCTGATGTCTCACAACTGTAACGCAGTTCGCGATCGAAAACACATTCTTGCTATTCCAATGAATGGCGCAAATGCCCATTAAAACACGTGTATTACCTGCACCATCTTTTATTATTTACCATTTAAATAAGTATTTGAAAAGTGAATAACATTTCAAACAAATGATACGAACACTCAGAGCTGATTTGTTCAAAAATAAATACAGCGGCAAACACATTCAACTATTTTTTAGTAACGAGTAACGTTCGTACTTTTTCGGTTACGAATGGTAATGACATGTATCTATTTCTAACAGAGTACGATACCTTTCGAATTCAATTTTCGAACAACGTTTAAAGATTGCAACAAATTTGTCGGTCATTGGAGTTTCTTCGCGTAATACATATTAGGCATATTACAGCAGTGAGACGTCTGTCTGGAGATTATTCACGTGACTCGTAAGACGTTTACATTTCTAAAAACCTAGTTCAATTTTCGTTTCAAATTTGCGTTTAGTTGTGTCCCACTCCCGTTTGGGTTACACCGAAAACCGATCAAAGTACAGCCTCGCTTGGTCCTCCTCGACGGGAACGCGACTGTTCGAGTGGACGTCCCGTGGATCCACCCAGCATCCCAGCACCCGCTATCAAGCCTTAACCCTCCGATAGGGCCAGCCGACCGTGTTACACCTTTGACAATTTTGAATGTTAACAGCTTACCAATTCGCGGCGACCGAGCATTCCAAACCAGACGTCCATACGGAAGGCTGAAAGGAGGAGTCGAAATCCGGCTCGGTCGCATTCCTTCCCTCTTCTCTCTCGCTTTTCATCGTTCGAAAACACTAAACAGGTATACCTATATCACACGAGGAACCGGTGACGCGACCCAGACACCCGTTCTTTCTATAGCTTCCCTGGATTCGTGTTACGAGATCAGCCAAGGTCTGAGGCCTCCGGCACGCAAATCGATCTCTACGAGAGCTTCGAGACTTGGACGCTTGAAGCCTCGCTCTATCGTCGCGTGTCTCGCGTGGTTCATGTTCTCGTTGAGAGATGAAGCGAGAACGGGCGAGTTACTCGAAGGTTCGCGGGAGCTAAAGGGTTTCCAGGAAGTTCTGGACGAGGAGAGCCGGCGCTGTCACGCGCGCTTTTCCCTTTCGCGGCTGTCTACAGGTACGTACGTTACAGCGCGGCGACCGCTCCAGCTGTTCCGACTTGTTGCTGTCCTGCTCGAGCTGCACCGACACGCTGGCGACACGCGGTGTCAAACAACCGCCCTCCTACAACAGACAATTCGACACGTTTGAGGGGGACGTCCTGACGTTCCCGTACACGTCGTAACAAGCATCGAGGAGTGAATCCGTGTCCCGTCGACACCCACCGTAGGATTCTACGGCTAATTCCAGGTTCCAGATAAGTTTGCTAGCCAACATTCCATACTTTTTAGACTTGCTCCAATGACAATATAAACAGGAAAACCTCGCGTATTTCTATTATTCCAATTTCGCGTATTTTGTATGTATTACCTGACACGGTGCTTCGTCGAATAACATTAGCAATAACCGATAGGGAGAACTGTTAAAAAACAAGTAAAAGGTCGCTGAGGACGGAGGGAGTAGCCATCGCGAACGAAAATAGTCGAGTTTTTACGAGCTGAATCTTTAACGACTGGAACGAATCGTGCCGCACGAACGCTGGGTGAATAGGGAACGAGGGAACAGGAACGAGATCGAGAGAAGGCAAATCTATTTAATTAGAATTATACCGATACGACGTGACCGAGGAATCTCAATTAATCTCCGAAAGAGTTTAAGAGGCTAGCGGAATGGAACTACACCGGTTCGTAGTATCGGGAGTTCCTCTGTAACTCGACTAATTTGTTCAATTACTTTTATCGCGGTGTCTCCGACAGGGGAAGTATTAAAGATAAAATGAACCAAACGCCGTGAAAGAAATGACGGAAATATTGAATAGTCGAGATGAGAGTAAAAGGGTTGCAAAGTACAATTAACCTTGAGTGCCTTGGGAACTTAATGGAACGTGATAATTATATTATATTATTTTATAGAAGGAGATGCGCGATTTTAATATTTAATTTTAAATTAATTGCAAGTATGGAAAACGAAATAAAAGGGACTGCAATTACTCACCGATAGGCAGAGATTCCCCTGATGTTGGTGGGCTCGTTGACGAGACTCGCTTTGTAGCTGCCACGCGCGTATGTAAAGATCGCCGCGATATATGAGACCACCCCGTTTCGCTCGTAACATCAAGTGCCACCTGAACGTAAATGTAAACAGAGAGAACATATTTATTTCAAAATATTCCGAACGTCCATTTTAAATTATTCGTGTAGAAACGAATGCGTTCAACATATTCGTATCTGAACGTTCTGCAGCTGGAATTGAATAGGTTGCAATTGTTATTTATTCAATTTTATCTCTGTGGTAAACTTCATCTTACTGTACAAACATTCTTTTTTTTCGCCTGTATAATTCAACCCTCTTAATTTATTCTTACAAGTACTTCTTTTCGCTTGTCGGTGGTAAAACTCACCCTGTTATTCGAGCCATAATGTAATCGCATCTTCGAAGTTGGATACGGAGAAATAAACAACTCTCCCCGTTATCTGGAAGGGCATTTTTCACTCTCGAGAATATCACAGCGCGAATCGCGTTCAACGCCAAGAAAGGGAGACACGCGTTTAACGTACGCGCGGAAATAAATTGCCAGACGTTCGCGCGAGTCATGTTCGCATTCACGGTGACGGGGTTTCTGGCAGCGCCACTCGGGAACCGTTCACATCCTCTCGATAAAATAAATTCGTAAATGACATACTCTTTTCACGCGTCAGTTCCGGACGCAGTTCATTTTCTGGGGCACTTTTTTTTCAACGAACGAACGGCGTGTTTACGAGGCGGAAAAGAGGGTGAATATCAGGAGTCAATAGCCGAGTTCCACGGAGGATGCGCGCTATCCTTTATCATGTCACACACTCGAGTCGCAACATTAACCCGACGGCGTTAGATATACAGTATTCTGACATTCTTCAGCGTTAGCATTTCATGTTACTTTACAAGAATTTAATGAAATAGAGAGTATGGAATCGTGGTCTGAGATCTCGATAATTTAAAATTTGGGGATTTCGTTCCACTGTGCATCGCTTCATTCCAGTCATACAAAGTTGCTCTTTCATTTCTGGTCGAACGAGTCTCGCGTCGCTGCAGCGAATCCATCGTTTGCGTCGCCTCTGTGACGCATTCGGTCAGCTGAATAATCCTGATCGTTATCAAGGTCGTTGCATTTATCCGAGAATAGTTACGCTATATTCGAGGCACCGACGGCGTTCAGTTTCCACGTCGCGTTATCGATTGCGTTGCTCGTTTACCAGGTTGCGATCGGCTACCTCTATTTTCTGTTTTCCTCGATTCCAAAATTTTGTCTGATTTTTATACCTTTCCTTTGTTTCTGTCGTTAAAACATTTGAAACTACCTTCATTTTTAATAGTTTTCTAAACGAACACCTCGCGAAAGACAGAATTCGAGTTTGAATTAATCACAGTTCACTTTTCATACTACTTTTTATCATCTACGCAGATAAAAACTTCTTTTTATTCATCCCGCTACCAATACCGTTACCAATCGAAACGACACAAGTCGATTCGTATAAAGTGTAGGAATAAAACTCTCCTAAAACAATTTACCTGAAAAGACTGGCGCGGCTGTAAAATACCCTGTCGCCGCAATTCGCACTAATCCGCCATCGGAACAATGTCGCCCCGTCCGCTAACCAGAAACCGAATTGTTTCGTCGAACAATGCTCGCTGCCCCATTCCGCGCGGTGTGTTCTATCCGTTCCGAACAGCGAAATGGAAACCCACCTTCGCACCTCGAGTATTACCGACGGCCTTTCGCCTCTCTCGACAGAACGTCCGAGCTTCGAACTGGTAATTAAACATCGTCAACGCGCACAAGAGAAATGAGAAGGGCGCGGGGGTTCCCTGATCGCGTTCGAGCGAAATATCCTTGAATCGAACGACGTCGACGGTCATAACGAAGTGGCAACGCGCGGGTAGCCACGACGATATCGGCCATTTGCTAGCACACGGATAGACCGAATGAAACTCGGTGTACTCCATGAATTATAAAATCCCCATTTGGCTGGATAGATAAAGGTTGCCTCGGTCGTATAGCCTGACTGGGTACCTGAGAGATACAGATAGATATGGAGGCAGAGGAAGTTCGTTTATTACGCGTTCTAGAACCGGCTTCGATAACAAGGAAGCCTCTAAATGTGCTTCCACTTTACGTCTAATTCTACGGACAAGGCTATTTTTTGATAGAGATTGTCTGTCTCTACTTGGGTAAAGTATGGTCTTGCACAAATATATGTTTTTCGAAAAAATGTTACCACTCGGACAGATGCACGCGCAATTCCCCGACTCGACGAGTAGAAAATACAGAAACGGAGGTAACGTCAGTAAATTCCCGATTTATCAGCTCGACGAGCGCTTAACGGAACGGTGACGACGTTATCGTTGCCTATGGAATCATCCTCTCCTCATGGCGCAGTGGCTTTTCTCGGAATTTATTCGAGAAAGATGGAACGTAAAGTGGATGTCGTATGTCGCGGTAGAATATGTCAGCTAGAATTTACATTCGGCTTCCGGATAATGTTCTACTTGGTATCTCTTATCTTGGTTATTAATTGTGCGGTTATTCGCTGAAACTCCATCGTCGATATTAACGTTACATAGGCACACAAGGAAAATTTAGATGAGTATCTTTGTTTGGTATTAGATGACTCTACGACACTCTCAATGACTTTTACGTTTAGGATAATAAAAGATTCAAATTAGGCGTGTGGTAGTATCCCTGAAGAAAACAGTTGGCATCGATGTAAAAGTCATAGTTTACGAGGCAATAGGATGCTAAATCCCTTGTAGATGAGTCTACGGGTGATCTACGACAAAATGCCTCTCGACTGGGAGCCATCTGTTTCCATTAAAAACATCTTTTAAACTTTTCTGAAAAAGAGGAGTGCGCCGATAACTTGCCAGTAAGTACTTTTTTATCCGTTACTCCGCGTGAATGTCGATACCGTTAGTTGAAGTATGCTTCCTACCAGATCAATTCTAGACTACCATATTTTCACGTGAATTGAAAAAGTGTTACACCGATACGTCACACTTTGTGAGCAACAACGAGAAAATAAAGGTTATCGACGATTTTCGTTGCATAACAACGTGTTTTTCACACGTTGGAGGCCATTGTCGAGTTTGTCGGGGCGACAGCGATGCACATTTTTTTGGGAAAGCGGAAAAAGGGATACTGTTTACACGGTGTGGAAAACGCGAATGTTATCCAATACTTTTGCTGCAGAAATCCGCAGCATTTTTGCATGCTGCGCGGACTTTTGTGCCGAAAATGGGAATGCCGGCTGACGGTGTGTGCTCTGTCGATTTTTCAAAGCGAATGAAAACACATCGAATGGAAGACACTAATGCCCGATAATTCTCCCAGCGACGGCGAAACCATTTCCAGTGCTCGCGAGCGCGGATAATGCGAGAGCCAGTGCTCCAGGTCTGTTCCTATATTATGTAATTTTATTCTCCGTAACGCATTAGTCCAACGTGGAAAACGCTTCTGATTGAAAGCGAGCGCTTCTGATCGCGTATTTAAATAACATCAACTATAATAGATTTTGATAATGCTTTTGGTGGACGTGGCTTCTACAGTGGATGGTAAAATTGACCGTTCAAATTTTCATTATAATAAAGTACGTACAAGCATCGTTTACCGACAATAAAAATAGGACAAATATATGAACAATTTTGCTCCAAATTCGTTTTTGTTTCCTGTGTAGCAGTAGGCTGATAAATTAACTATCTATTACTGTAGCTCGATTTTGAAACAGAGAGTTCGAAGCGAAAATAGATTGTAGAACTATTTGACAAAAACCATTAGCAATTTATGAGAAATTAATCTGACATCCGTGCAACCACTACAAAGTGGGATGAACCTGTTGCGACTTAAGCTGGTCTGAAGTAAATAAACTGTAAAAATCCTGTCAGCGCGCGTAGTTTGTAACAACTCGTGCGGTTTTGTGCTACTCGTAACACGACAAATGTTTCAGAGTTGGAAAATTATTCATTTCGCCCAACAGCGTACATTTTTCATTACATTTACCCGAACAATATTTTATCAATGTTATTCCTACGGTTGCACACACGTTGCAGTCGCACGAAATTAAACAAACGTTGTTGGTAACAAACGAAAACATTTGATAACATTCATTTTCTTGCTTGATATTTCAACCATTATTTTGAAATGGTGAAAGTCAGTTGGGATGCCAAAGTAGTGGAAATATCCTCCAAACAAAGTGCTTGGAAAATCATTTTTCGAAACCACTATTGCGCGATTCACGCGTGCGATGATTTGTATTATATACTATACAACGGAGAGCTCATGGTTAAACGTTGGCCAGTTCTGCAGTTCTTCTGTTGAATAATTCATAGCCCTGAATAATTCATAAGTCGAACGTACCGAAGGGATGAACAATGAAACGGTCGAAAATGTGGTGTAAGATTTGACAAATTTATCGCTTTATGGTTTATTTACAAGCGCGTCGGTGTGTGAGGCCGTCCTATAAGCACAATCCACTTAAACGGCGGATCAATATTTTCTGGGGCGTGGATACCGTGCGAATAAATAAACGCGATGGTTTAGGCTATTTTATTGTTATTGCAGCTACACGTTGCGCGCGCGCAGATACTGCTCGATGATTGTGCCTGGCTATTCTTAAATGGACGAAGCCGAGATGAATAATTAATTCCTGTGTTTTGACGAACCCGAGACTAACATTCACCGAGTATTTGGGTACTAAGTGGCTCCAATTACCATTTTAAATTCTACATAACGTTACAAACAAAGGTTAATTTCTCGACAGAGACGCCAAATTACCAATTCAGGTAAACAAATCTGCAACCCTCGTTCGTTTCACGTGCACGACAGTTAAACCGATGCAAATGAAAAAGATCTCGTAACGAACTTTTAACTGTCAACTCGACGGGCCCTACACGCGACGTCCCCTCTAATACAGACTTCTAACGACAGAAAACAAAGAGACACACTATTGTAATTACACCGTTCACCGCCTCCACGAAAACACACGTACACAAATACGCATGCATGTACGAGGTGCTTGCAAAGCCGATATTTCAGTCGTGCACTTTCGCTAGTCCGCAGAAACGCTAGCGTTTCGCACCCCTTCGACACCCTCTGCCATCTACGACCATACCGTTCCTCATACCGATTGCGGTTTGCATGAGAGATTCGTATTTGCATTTAAAATCTGCACGCTGCGGCGCATCTGTCAAAACCGCGTATATTGAAATCATCCACGCGGTGCTTTCACCCTCTACACTCTCGCATTGCGCCATCACTTTCCGCTTTGTTTCTCCGAAATACAACCCTCCCTCCCTTCTATTCGCTTCGAGACCTGTCCTCTGACTGCCCGTTTGGTCACGCCATCGACTGCAAAACTGCACGCGCGTTCCAGTTCTAAATAGTAGGGTAGCAACTTGTAGATGGTTAAATGATCGGTATCGATTGCTTTGAAGTCGTGACCATCTTGGATAGAATACCCTTGGATAAATAAGGAATTCCCTTTAATTTTAGTTTATAAAGTAATAGAAAAAATGTGAAACCTCTCAAGATTAATAGCTCGTGTCCATAGGAATCGAAAAGTTCTGTATCGTTTTCCGATCCGATTCACCATTGGGACTCTCGACGCGGCCCGTTCGGAGTCGGGGTTGTTTACTTTTCGGCTGCGCGCGCGCGCGCTCCGTACGTGCTACATGCGCTCGCGCGCACTCCACGTGGTTCTTGCAGTTCGCTCACGTAACAAACTTTAACTGCGAATATCTCCGAAACGAACAGTCGGATTGAAAAATAGAACAGGACTTTTCGATTCGTATTACCACGGGGTATTCATCTCCCAAATGTATCCGACATTTTTACTAACAATTGTTTATATTTCCATAACGAAGCCTCGGATTGAAATATGAAGGTATTATGCTCGAACGAAAATTGCTCCGTGGCGCTAGGCATATCGATCGCGGAATCAAACTATAATTTCGCTGGGGCAAAGAAAGAATTGATTCCATGGTGGCGTCGAGCATGCGACTCCCAGCCGAGAGTTGCAAAAACAACGCGCATCGTCGCTGGCAAATTTACCATCGCTGTTTTATAGACGCTATTTGCGCCGCGGGGGCGCGAGAGGATTACAGTGCGCGAGACTCGAGGAAAAAAGAAGGTTAAAGGGATGGAAGGACACAACCCGGGCGGGTACGCAAGGGTGAACTCACTGCTTCTCCCGGAATATCCTATAATCCAGTGTTTCTCAAACTTCGGTTCATTTGGTCTATTATTTTCCAACTTTTCTCAATTCTTATAGATTAAAATAAACTAGTAAATTTTGTAACACCATTTCAGGCTAGCGTTATATTGTGCATTCCATATTGTACGATATATGTAACGAGTAAGGTGTTGACCTTCCATTCGGAAATATATCAAAAATTTGAATTAGATCTTGTTGCAAAAATTTCTATACTAATTGCTCATTTTCTCACCTGGTAATGAGTTGGTGTACCCTCGGCAATTGACCCCGCGACCTTAGGATCCTGACTGTGCCCAATAATGACGATCTATGCGAGGGCGAGACTTCCATGGCTTTGAGATAGTACTTGAGAGAGGGTAGCCATTTGCCTGAAGAGACGAAGAACGATTTGGCGCGAGTACAAAGCCGAGGGAGTGCCACGTGTGTTGCGTTATGGAGTTTCCCGTGTGTTGTTTCGCGACGAAATTATGGCCTTGTTTGGCTACTTTAAACTACTTATCAGATACTTCGAACCAACGTAATGGGAACTCACGGATTTGTCCTTTGAAAGCAATTTAGCCGTTTTACCGGAGTCGCTTACCGTTTTGGTACAACCAAGAAGCATATTCGGCGAGATGGTCGGGACTTCGAGGTTGCAATCGAACGACGTGTCTGAGAAGTACCCCCGCCGCTGGACCCGTTGCTAATCTTGCCAAAACTAAGTACGCTGGGGTGTACGCTGGGTCGAGGGACACGCATTTTTGCAACATTCGTATGCACTCCTCTGTTCTGTTCGTTTTTCTGAAAAAACAATTTGCAACGCAATGTATTAGTAGGTCGATATATAATATAAAAGTTATTCTCAATATTCTTGGTATCAGTGGGTTTATCTCGGGAACGAAGAGGGGAAACAAGAAGACACGGTGACTGCTTTGCAATTGAATTCCCACTACATATATTCCACACAATGCTTCGTTAAAAATTACATATCTGCGCGTTTGGCAGCGTTTGCACGAACGATAGACCATTTCAATTGAATATTACAATCGGACTCGTAAAGTGGTGCATGATCACGATCAAGATATGAATACGCATACTTGCTTGCCATGCACGATATGCGGTCGTGTATAGACCGCCTTGTTTCCCGTGCGTTTCATCGTACCGCGAAATGTATCTGTTCGCATCGATAATTCTACTACACTGATGTTAACTGAATATTCGAAAAATAGTTTGATGGATGCCAACGCAAATGGTGCTACAAATGAAATGTGTTTCGGAATGATTTTTTAAAGAAAATAAATTTTCAGAAAAATATGTAGGAATAACTATAAACAGACTTCGCGGAGCATTTTATCAGCAAAAGGAAGCTAAAAAATTGATGACCACTGTTTTCCCACGGTCCATATCTAACGAAATGAAAATTCTACACGGCAGCTAAAGGGTGGCGGTGGTTGGCTTGCGCAGGCTTCGTTCCTTTTGTCAATTAAATTTTAATTTATCAAGCAGGAGGCGTTAATTAAAGTTTGATTTTGACCACGCCGCTAGAATTACCTTGCCACGATTAATTTATCGCGAAGCACGCTGTTCGATTCTACTTCGATATGCCATTAATAAAATAGAACACGTCGGAATTCGAGATTCTTCCTTCAACTCCGTTTATTCTACGTGATGAGGAACTCCATTAGACCTCGGGGTATTCGTTGTCGGTGGAACAAGAATAATCCTTAATTTCAAAGCTGTTCACCGTGTGTCAAGTTACTTTTGTTTTTTTCTGTGTGAATAAATTATTCCGACCATGAGAAGTAAAATAAGGCAACGGATTCGAATGCATTAGAGAATAGCAGAACAGTATTTTCTGAAAAATGCGGGAATTCGGATGGTAATTTCCATAAAAGAATTGATGCTTTCGTCGATCACAAATATTCCCTTCGAATAATTGGATTAATTAATTTTACCAACCTGTAAAGTTGACCAAGATTATAGTGAGCGTTCACGTGTCCCGGCTGAGCGTTTATCGCTGCCAAAAAATGTTGCTCCGCTTGATCGCCCACAGTGAGTGTACCGAGGTTATTATGGGCACTGGCGTACGCCGGCCACAGCCTGTAATCAAATAAACGCGGCTTATTTACAAAGTGATTAATGATCCGAGAAACTAGACGCATTATCGTACAATTAATCGTGAAGGTTATTTCGTTTCACCGCAACACAATGTACGCGGGCTGATAATAATTTGAAATCGATTTCATTAACGGAAGAAACAAAATACGAGTAACGATCTCTATTTGTGTTAACTTGATGTTGGATTAATGAATAAATATGGCTTCAACTAGCCTTTATACCGCGTGCATATTTATTTTACACGACAAATACGTTGAACATCACATATGACATCGGTATATCGAGTAGACATATGAGTCAAGTACTTTAATCACGTAAAAATGTATCCTTAACAATCGAATAATATTCGTCGTCGCAGAACGATTCAGCCATCGTTTGAGCGGATAATTTGTTAATAACATCAAAACAGTATCTTCGGAACAGGGAGCACGGTAGTGAGTTAATTAACGCGGTAGCGCGAAAACTCGCAAAGGTACGAATGGTTAACGAGCCGCGAACATCGTCCAGGGTCAATAAGGGGTCAGCCGCTCGTCCACCGGCGTAGTTTTCAGCTGCGCCACGCGGTGAGCGAAATTGTTCCAGTTTCTACGTCGAAAAAGGGAAAACTACGGGCTAGGCCAACGGACTATGAATCACGTGACAGTGACAAAGCACGGCGGCGAATGCGGTTTCGTTGCAACTGCGTGGACAAGGATTTAAGGATTACGTACGTACACGCGTCACCCCTGGACAAATAAAACGTGAACGCGGGAAGAACTGGTAAATTAGCTAAATCCTTCGAGCCAAATAGCGTTCTCGCGCTCCTTGTCTCGGATTACATTCCGTATGGAGCTTCTTCTTTTATTTGATAGGGCTGGAAGGGTTAGTTCTTTTTGTGTAGTAGGGTTTCCTTGGTAAAATCTAAAACGACGTTTATACCGTCAGTTAATTTCGTTATCCTTGCCGCTTTCCCAAGCCAATCTAGAAAGTAACGTAGTTAGCGAAAATATATTACTACCGGGAACGCGTTCTGACAAAAGTTTCCTAACTTCTGGCAGGGAATGTATAATATATTCTGACAGTGATTCTTCGAAGCTGTGAAATTTGAAGTAACATCGCGTAAGAATTAAAGGGCAATATTATATTTCCACGGAGAACCGACATTACTCTGGATACTTGATTTTTCAGCGTGGGTACATTCAAGCAAGTGAATTAAACTTTACTGTATCGCGGTAACAAAAAGCAGAGAAAATATCTGCTGCTAAAAATTGTTCAGCTCTGTGATCGTAGCTGAGAAACGATAGCTCCAATTTTAAGAGACTGTTAATTATGAGAAAACAAACTGTATCAAAATACGTACGTATTTAACATTAACAACCGAATTAATTAAAAAAGTGATGGAAACGTTCGAATATTTGACAGTCGTTCGGTTGAAAGTGGAGATTCATGCGAAAACAATGAGGTTCACAAACTTTTTTTTATACGTAATCCTTTTGTGGAATATTGAGACTTATTCTACAGTAAAATCAACATGTTTCTTTTATTCGTAAATTTCTTTTGCCTTTTACGAACTGCATAGAATTCTGTGCAACATTTTCCTGTACTAGTTATTTTAAAGTACAAGCATACGTCTCGTACGTTTTGTGGATGTTTTTCATATTAGTCTACGTTGCGAGTGCACAAAGTCCGCAGTCTGATGATGAGAAAAGGAAGAAACTCGCGAACAGGAGGCACGCGTATCCAAAATGAGACCAGTTTAAATCACCAGCTCTCGACATCCAAGATTCGAATGATTTTCCCCGCACACCGAGAAACAGACATGAAACTTTGGCCCGCTGTGTGCGCCTAAATTGCTTCTAAGCATGAAACTCTCTACTTAATAAAATGTCACTGGCACCCATTCGACACCTGGCTCCTCTCAGCGGCACGCAGTTAACTACAGCGTCGAGCTTTCATACGCGGAAACAGAGTTTACGTAATCGAAATCCGCTGTTCATCCCCAGAATAGAGCAATCCGAGCACTGAGAGCTTACATTAACGTGATCGTAATCCGTGATGTAAATTATTTCGGATACATCGGATCGTGGTTAAATTGAGTAGAAATTCAAAACCGCCAAGTTAACATTCGAAAAGACAGAACGAAGCAATACTTCTCGATAACCTAGAAAATCTCTCGGGTCCAATCCCTATATTTTTCTCTCACTCTAGAAACATTCTTTCCCAAGTTTTCGGCGAGAATGTTCGGATTCCCTCGTTCCCACCAAAAGTTCTTTGATTTCGATACAAAGAACGTCATCTGTGCCCACCGCTCGTGGTCCGAATGGTGCAGTCTTATCGCGTAGCAGTCGCCGTTAAGGAGGCCATTGGGGTGGCAACACACGGGTCGTCGTAACGCTGGAGAATATTAGAGACAGTGATGGGAGGGATAGGGAGAAAAAGTTGAGACAATTCAAGGAAACACGGATATCCAGGGATAGTTGCTTCGTAACGGTGTAACTGGTCCACTGGGGTTGGCTGTGAGAGCTCAATAAGGGACCGCTGCGCCGATATCGAAGAAAAATACGGAGATAGGATTCGCGCAAGAGTTACACGGCAAAATGAAGAAAGCGGATAAAAGGGACAGAAAGAAATCCGACGTGAGTGGATCGGCCAGCGTTAGAAAAAGAAAAGTATAATCCGAACGGTATTCGATCGCGTCTGTGATGCATGTTCACGCTCCCGCGGCGAATCCGTTTTATTCGACGCGTTCGGAATGGATCGCGTGTCTCCCTCCCCCATTTTCTCTCTTCCACTCTCTTTTTTACCCTTATTTTTATCCCTGGAAGAATTTCATCTATATTTAAGTTGCCGTGGAACAATATTGATTCCCAGTGAAATATTTGGACGGTGAACGCGCACGTATATTTTCGACGTTTCAAAGATATATCGTCTGGCGAAAAAATGAAACTGCGTCGCGAGGAGATAGCTATTTTATAGGAGTTTCGTCGAGTTTTCGGTTATTTGATCTCCTCGTGGAGAATGTTAAGATTTCATTGAGATCCGTCTTTCCTTACCTTTCCGATCTTTTTCATCTCAACGATCACGAGTTCTAAATATATGTAGAAATGCATAGTTAAAACGTCGCGTCGGTACGATTCATAACGCAGGAATCAGTTTGGCCAGTCGTGAAACCCGTTAATATTATCGTTGAATTGATCTGAAGATAAAATTTCCACGATATCACGTCGTAGCAGGATAAATGGACAGATAAGCGCACCACTGATTACAACTCCTGTCACCGTTCTCCCGGTCGCGAGCGATGTAAAACAATTCGCGATGCCGAGATACCGCGTTTTCTCAAGGCACGTCAATGAAAGTGGCAATTTTCCGTGAAATACTGCAGTCGCGTTAAATCTAAAGATTCAAGCTCTCGTTGCAACGAGGATTTTCAAAGCGACGCGAGCGTTTCTTCGCTATTCGATTCCCTTGATCGTGCGAAACGTTCGACGATCTCGAACGGAAATTTTGACAAGCGCGTGCCAGGAATAAAGAAAAAATGTTCGAGAAGAGGATTTGAGGACGCAATGCGTGAAGCACGAAACGAAGTTGGCGCTTACCACATTAGGCCGGGACAGGGAGGGCGTCTTAAAAAGGAAATGCTCGTAGCAGTCGCCTCTCTCGGCGTGCTTGCTCTGAAAGAGGATTCCACGGAAACGCGTTGCTCGTCCGGAGGATAAAACGCGATCCCTGAGAATGCTAAGCAAACGTGTGTGTGGTTGAAACGCGTGGTGGAAACTGACGGAAGGAATGGTTTGCGTTAGGAATTGGAATCCGGCGGAGAATTCCCGCATAGAAATCCACGATTCATTCGAGACGTGGAAAGTGTACGACGTTAAAAATTAAAAGCACGAATGGAGAGATTCTTGACCCGAAAATGCTGTTCAAACCAGTGATCCTGAACGAGGGCTGTGTGGACCTTCGGTGAAATCGGAATTTGGATCAAGATTGCGCAGATATTTAGGCTATCGGTGTTTTGATACCGCCCATAATATTTTCGAATAAAAAACAGACTGAATGGTATTTTTGGAAGACGTATACTCTTTATATAGTGTTTCCTTCGAGTTATTAAAGTGAACACTGCAAAGAAAATCAATTGGAATCTCAGCTCGTGGAACGGTACGATGCTATCGAAGTAAACAATTTTAATAAAACGATTCCTCAATTTCAAATAAACGCAAGTACTTTTGCAGTGAGCTTAAAATTGGAGAAGAGAAGCGACTCAAGTTCTTGAGAACCGTCCGAACACAGACATCGGGGCTGAGAGACTTTCTTAATAAGTTCGATTAGAGACGACTAGTTACCGTTAAAGTGAAAATTTTGAACGAGTAGAATACTGTTCACGTACTTTTTTTTTTTTATCGTGAATGGTACTATATTACTATTCAAATCGATCTTTTCGACTGCAAATCTCATTCTACTAATAATCTCTTATTACAAGTTTTCTTTACTTATTATGCGGATAAATTCACCGAAACAATTGAAGAACATTATTAATTTTGAATTTTAACTGGCTGTAAACGTGATATACTACTCGAAGCTCCGAATTTTGTCAGAAAATGTGTCGTTTGGCAAATAATATTTCAACAACAGGTGCTTGTAGAGAATAGATTATGGCGCAATGCACGTAGAATAATTAATATAATCCATTATCGATGAATAACAACACACTCTTCAATAATATAGTGTCAAATTAAATCAGTACCAATTATTTCAGTACACAGCCATAATAATTTCCCTTACAAACAAATTGACCCGATTTTAATTTGTAGAACAACTCATGCGTCCTACGCAATCATTCGTTCTATGTAAAATAATTAATTACATGTATTTTATTTCATGTAGAAATGTACGTCGATCGTATACATATCCAGTAATTTTCTATATGAAGTAAATTCAATGTTTCGATAATTTAATTAAATTATTGTACTGATTTAATTAAATACAGAAAAAAAATTTCATTCAAT